GGGGCCATTACCCAGTTTAGGCTCCTGGAAACCGGGTCCAGTGTCCCTTCATACTGCAGCTCCCCAAAAATAGAAAAAAAAAGGTGTTACCAAAAAAAGAGGATACCCCCAAGCTCTTCCCAACCGGACCTTCTCTTCGATAGATARAAARGACTCTATGGAGGGGAGCTAAAACGCTCCCCATGTCCTAATGGGGACAGCAGCCACTGGCAAAAATGKAGCCTACCGACAGAGTCTAATTTAGCTAAGGAAGAGTCCCTCCCCCAAGTCTCCCAAAACCATTTCCTTGCTTTTTGATTMCCTGGGAGATTCCTTCTGATACAGTCACTTCTGATAATCAGTCTCAGTTGGTTTCCTACCAAAGCTTTTACTTYGTCATCAGATGTTCCGCAATCTCTAAAAAGCTGATTATTACGATTGTCCCAAATGATCTTCATAATGATGGCCCTGCAATTATGAGCCACATATAGCCATTTCTTTTCTCCTTCATCCGCCGTTTTGTAGACCCCTGAGATAATCCACTCATCAGACCATTGAAATGTGTTCCTTGTTATCTTATCCCAGTGTCTGATCCMCCAGTCCCAAATGCGTCTTGATGCTGGGCATGTCAGCCAGAGATGCCTATTATTCTCCCACGGCCATCTGCACCTTGAGCATAYRGTAGAGATCTCCATTCCCCTAGTTGCCAGACTCGTGGCAGAAGCAACAGCTAGGTAGGACTGTAACCACACAATAGCTGCCAGCTTCTGCGAAGGCATTGACAAGAACAATTTCCACTGTGCAGTAAGATGTTCCTCTGGTAACTGTAGCAGTTCCGCTTCTCTCCTTCTCCTGACCACCGAAGCTGTTGGTGTTTTACTTACCCCTGCTCTGAGGATCATCACCCCCGTTTTTGGCTTGTTGGAAATTAGAGACACTCTTTTCCCTTGGCCATTAACATACCATCCGATCGTTTCTTGGGTCCAGAGCCATTTGGCCCAAATCCTGCAGACCCACCGGCAAGGTCGCCCTCCATTGCGTGCCTCCCGCTCCCGGCAGTCTTCTGAGAGAAAGGGCTACTATCACTTCCTTTGTATTTTTCAAATTATTGATTCTGATATCATTAGGTCTGGGGATTAGCTCCCTGGAATATTCCACAAAATCTGGGATTTCCCATTCTTTTGCCACCAACYCCTCTGTACCCAGGTCATCAGTAATCTGAMRCACTACCRAGGACGAAAGGAACCAGCGTCCCACTTTATTATTGCCAGAGTTTTTCAGGATTGAGTGCCACGAATAGGGAATAGCTTGTACCACGGCAGTRAGTCTGTCTCTGAACTGTCTTAGCCTGCTTAATTTCCTTCTCATCTCGTCTACTGACTTYCATTCATTTCGATCCTCAYTCCACAGGTCTTTCACCCTCACTACCCCTCTTTCAATCCACGCCTTCCCGAAGTTACCCGGAGAGTCATGGGCTGAAAAGGGGGTGTTGTATTTGTCTGTGATCAATGGGTTTTCGAAAATAATCTGAGACAGTACTTCTCCCTTGGTGTTAGGCTTGTCCCGTTCTGTGGGGAATACTTTCTTCCAAGCTCCCAGTATGCTCTTCCAAAACCTCGACTTAATCTGWTTGTTAACGTAGGACTTAATCAACAGACAAGACAGCACATCCTCATCTCTTGTGAGAGACCATTCTTCCTTCAGGATGTATAAGGCTAGACTAAGCCAGGGCGCGTCTCTATCCCCAGACAGTGCCTTGATAGGCCATTTGGCCAGCAAGGCTGTGTTCTGCTGTATTGGATCTAGGATACCCAGACCCCCTTCCGCTTTTGGAAAGGTGATYGTCTCCCAAGCGATCTTCGATACAAAAMCTTCCTGAGGTTTACTTTCTGGCTTCCATAAAATCCTGGYAGCAGCCTTCTTARTTCTCTTGTATGCAGCATCCCCTAAGGCATGAACTGCCAAAGYAAACCACAGAACCGCAAATGCCGCTGAGGTGATTACCACCGCTCTTCCAAATAATGACAAGTGTCTCAGGCTGGTCCATGATAAAAGTCTGCTCACCACCTTTTCTTCTATGAGTGAGTCTTGGAACGTTGCATTGTCATTGAGTGACACTTGAATACCCRGGAAGCGTTCTGAGGAATCTGCAGGCACCTTCTTTAGTCCCCAGTTTACTTGGAGGTCAAAGGAATCCGGCAGAAAATACCCAGACTTACTCCAATTGATAGAAGCCTCTGCGAGATTACAATAAGAGTTAAGGACTTTTCTTACTTCCACCAGATTAATTCGGGTGTTAGAGCAGGCAAGCGTGAGATCATCAGCCAGAGCCCCCCCCTTCCRTTGTGAGTGGTCCTGTAATGAAAGCCCCCTAATCGCRTTCCTGTTTCTTATGTTATCCAGTAGGACTTCTAAGTGCAAAACAAACAGCAGCGGGGCCAAAGGGCACCCTTGGCGTAAGGATCGCGTTAGCGAGAARCTACGTGAGATTTTCCCATTGACCATCACCGCTGCGGTAGCGGATGAGTACATTGTTTTGACCCACCGTGTAAAATTYGGCCCAAAATTCATGTGTGTGAGTGTTGTTGCAACAAAAGCCCATCCTACTCGATCGTARGCTTTTTMCATGTCCAAGAGTAGGATCGCCACATTACGGTTTTCCTTTGCGATAATTTCCAGTGCTTGTATCGTACAGGCTATGTTATCCATTATGGATCTGTGCTTCACGAAAGCTCCTTGATCTTTTCCCACTAGATTCGGAAGGTACCTAGCTAGTCGGATAGCTAGGACTTTTGCCATGATTTTGTACGAAACATTTAGAAGTGAAATAGGCCGCCAATTCCGCACATCTGATTTCTCCCCCTTCTTATACAATAGCATSATTACTCCTTTCATCATGCTCTTYGTTAACGACCCCCCCGYTAGTACTCCGTTAWAWATTTTCAACAGCATCGGACTAATTAAGTCCCATACTGCCAGATATAGCTCTAYAGGCAGACCATCGTCTCCCGGRCATTTCCCCGTTGCCATTTGTTTGGCTGCCCAGTGGAGTTCTTCCGRCGTGATTGGTCTTTCAAGGTCAAGTCTGCCTTGGCTATTCAAGGCAGATTTCGTATGATTCCAGAAGTCCGAGTCGGTCCTCAGGTCTGTGTCGAAGTTATCAAACGGTCTACGGGTTGAAAAAATATCTTGGAAATACAGACACGCATACTCGCTCATGGTGTCAATTTCGTCTGAGATTTGGGGGGTTATGGAAAAAGGATGTGCCAATTCCAACATTGGTGTTTTCCTGTTTTGCAGCAGGAGTCTTCTAAACGTTTCTTTCGTCATTCTGTCTCCCTTATTATGTTTTTTTGGGCCAGCCATGTTTTCCACTGTTCCTGCTATTTATCTTCTCGTGCTTCTTGCTGTTGGAGTGCTCTTTTGCGGATTGCTGTCCAATAGGCGTCAGAGATCAGGTGTTTCCCGAATTCCTCCTCTGCTTTCTTTACTTTCTTAATGAGCTTCAACTCCTGTTGCTTAGCATGAACTGCCTTAATCTGGGAGATGTTGCTTAAGGATCCTTGTAGAATACTAAACCCCACCTCAGTCCAATCTTCCTCTGTGTTAAAGAGGGGTTTCGCTTTTTCCCAATCAGACAGGTGTCTTTGGATCCACTGGATAACTTCTGGGTCCTGTAAGTGTGCAGTGTTGAGCTTGAAGTATGAATGTCCAAACTGTTGTTTTTGGGCAATCTTAAAGGTGGCAGTGATCGGGGAGTGGTCTGAGATCGACGAAGACCCCAGTTCCACTTTAGTACAATATTCGTTGGGTTTTCCCCTCGTCAGGAAAAAATCCAGTCTTTCCTCACGGGTGGGGTCTGTGAACCAAACCAAGAATAACCTGGGTCCTCCGGATTCAGCAGCCTGAAGATATCAGTTAGCAGCCTGGTGTCCGTTCTGATTGGATAAACTTTCGGACTATCAATTCCAGGATTTAGAACTGTGTTCCAGTCCGCCGCTATTATCAGATTCGGTGAGTTTGGAATAAAACTAATCATTTCTGATATAAATTTTACTCTTTCCCCGTAGGATACTGGAAGATATGCAGACATCACTGACCAATCTTCAGTACCTATGGAAAAACTCACCCATACCCATCGCCCCCAGATATCTGCCATATGGTCCAATATCTGAATGTCTAGGTTCTTGTGAAACAGGACCCCCACGCCTCCCCTCGTCCCTTGATCCCCTTTGCTCCCCCTCGCCGGACTCCAAAACTGTAATCGTGTCCACCATTTACTAACTTCGTTGAGTCTGGATTCATCCATTTTAGATTCCTGCACGCAGATTATCTGTGCTCGGTTTTTGTGTATCCAGGTTTTAAATCTACTCCGTGTGTGTTTTGTTCCTGCGTCATTTAGACCTCGAACGTTCCAGGGTACGATCTTCAGCTTACCGCTGCTCACCATTGGACCCTAGGAGGCCGTCGTTGCCATGGATCCGGCCTCCTGACGCAGAGTTCAGGTCACTCTGCTTCCGCCTTCGTGCGCCATCCTGGTTTTGTAATGCTACATTTTCAGAAAGCCAGGGTGCCTGCAGAATACCGGCCAGTGACCCATCGAACAGTATCCCCCTGTGCACCTCTGCGTCGTTCAACCATTCTGCTATCAGCTTTGCCGTGGCTCCCTTCATTCGGATGAAATCCAGTTCCTCGTTAAGATCTGAATCTAAGATCTCAAGGGAAAACCAGTCCCAACCCAAACCTTCCAGCTTTTCCTTTATTGAGTTATCCATCTTAGCATTGAGAAAAGCAAACAGGAATCTCACTTTCCCAGATTCCGTGGAAATTGTGTGAACTCCTGTTCTCAGACATTGGATTACACGGCATTGCACACAAGACGGAATAATTGCTTTAGTCTTCTTAAGAATTACCGATTCTGTGAGTGATTCGTTAGCTTCGATTGTTGGCAGTTCCATTGACCCACTGGCCAGTTGAATTGCGAGAATCTTTACCCCTTTACTCGAGTTAGCACATATCAACGGAACTAAAAATCTCGGGGTATCAGCTTCTCCTCTGCCCAGAGTCTCCATTGGGACACCCCCCAAGAGGCCACCTGATTGCCCTCCCTCTGCTGAGGTTCCTTTCCCCTCCGAGCCTTTGTTACCCTCCCTACCATCTTCCCCATGGTCTGAAAACGAGGCATCGTCCTTTCGAATTTTTTTTACGTGCTTCGATCTCGTTTTAGACTTAGCTTTCATCAGAGCTCTTGCCGCTCTTCTTTCCAATTTTCCCTCGCCCGATCCCGCACTGTCAGATTCTGACTCTGATGTCAGATCGTTGAAACTTGCACGCCCCGAACCCTCTGTCTCATCACCATTCCCTCTCCTTAACCTTGATGTCCCCTTTTCCTTCCACCGGTTCTCCCCCTTCTTTCCCTTACTCTTCGACCTGGTGTCCTTTTTCCCTTCCCTTTCCTTCTCCGTTCCCGTCGCCTTCTCTCCCCCGGTTGGACTTTTCTTACTTTTCGATCCATGATCCTTCCCCTTCCGATAGCCTGTGTCTCCCCTTCTCCCACCTGGATTCGGCATACGAACCAGTTGCGCAACCCAGCCCTGTGCTGGGAGTCTTCTGAAGCCTGTTGCGGGTGGGCGGTCCCCTTCAGGAACAAAGCCTGAAAAGGGCGGGTTCGGCAATTCCCGTGCATCCGTATAATCTCCAAACGGGTTATCCTCTACTTTKCCCGGGCAACAATCGTCGTTCTCGTCATGGTAAAAAATCCTACAGCGTTCACACCACRRGGTTGCTTGAGAAATAATTTCGAAGAAATAATCACCSTGTCCTRGGATCCGGACTACCAATCTGGGTTTGACACGCGATCTACAGGCTACATCCAGATCAAGGCGTACRGAGCCTRATTCCGGATCGTCCTCGTCCTTTTCCATCGGGTGAACTTTAATAATCGAACCAAAGGTGTGTTCGACCGCTGCATACATCGTCGACATCAACTGGAAGGGGACCCTCAGAACCCTAATCCAAAAATAACTCGTTCCCACGTCTTTGAACACGCGCATTTCAGGCAGCGTCATCCAAGGTACAAATTGGATGTTATATTCCTTCCCATCGGCCGTGTGGATTTGGTCAGTCTTCTTCTGAATCATCCACTGGATTATGGTCGGTTCCGAGGAGACGAAGGATGCTAAATTTTTACCTTCGCTGTGGTAACGCCCACGCTTGACGTTTTCGTCCAGAATACCGGCATCATACCAATTGTTTTCGTAAACTCTGATCAGTTTCTTCTTGAGGTTATTGGAGAGAGCGTTAGCTTCATTCAGAAACACAATTGTCACCGCGTGTTCTTTTAGCCATTGAACGTTCAGGTTTGAGAATTCTTCGTTTATGCTAAAATGCGCGATGTCCTCCTCTATCTCTGCAACCCCGATGTCTAAACCGGACGGGAGAATCCCGTCTCTGTAGCAAGCGGTGAGAAGGGAGGAAATGTGTTCTTTCTCTTCAGTCGTGTATTGCCTTCGTCCCGATTGATTCCCCCGGGCCCCCTGGCCCGGGGGAACCATCGATCCACTCATCCCCAATAGACCAATCAGAAACAGCAAACAAAGATGGGAAGTTAGTTGGGCCTTATCAGCTGGAGTAGGTCGATTCCACAACAGGGATCTCCAAACACACGTAACTCAGCGAGAAGAGATTATACCTAAAACGGTACTTTGTCACCGAACTCCCACCGAGGAGTAAGCAGAGGTTCGTCGAAGTCTCGCCGGTTCCACTTGTGCTCTGGTCTTCATCCTCCGTGCGCGGGGGCGTCGGGAGGTTTAGGAATTAACCAAGCCGCTACCCGGTGGAAATGCCCACTCTCCGTGAGGGTGTTACTGTTCTGGATGAACAGTAGCTTTACCACCCTGTAACCACCATTGCAAAGCGATGGTGGTCAAGCAGCTCGATAGTACCTCATAGTATCGATTGTTGCCGTACCCTCGAGAATCCCGAAGCGAGAGACGCCTTACGCATTTCCGCGACGGTCCCTGGGTTCCTAGCGGCAGGCTCGACTTCTCAGGGCTAGCCCTAGCGCTAAAATTGCGAAAGCAAAATTAGCGCAGCGTTAGCGCAAAATCGGCGCTACCGGTACCGCCCAAAGAAAAGCTTTTGGGAACTGTCCTAAAGGCTCTCCCAAGGCCTGTTTTCATATACTTACTCCAGGCCACCCGGACGATGTCTGCCCATTGCAGCCTCGTGTCCATGGTACACAAGGCGGCCGACCCTGGCAGGTTCATGACGGGAAGGTCAAAAGCGCGCCGGGGCAGGAATTAGAAAATTCGAATTCGAATTTTTGTGGACGCACGCTGGCTGTCCGGAGGACGGGTAGTGCCCATATTCGTCTGTACGACGCTACTGATCCCCCACTTGGAGGGAGCCCTGTTCGGCTGGAGTGCGAAGTCATGTGTGGCCTGTGAAGTGTTGTGTTGCAGCGAACACAAGCGGAGTCTTGTGCGAGCATAGGCGGGATCTGTGAGACTCGAACAGGAGATGGGTGTGGACATTCGTGGCGGCGGCCATGCATTGTCTGATGAAGAGCTGGAGGCCGTGGCATTGGTGGTGACTGTCGTCGTTCTGAACACGATGAGCGGCAGGTCGTCCACACAGCGCCAAATGCGTCTGCAGTTGCGGAAGCGTAGAGCGTTGTTGCAGCGTGTGGTCGAAGCTTCGGATTGCATGGCGACGTCTGAAGCGGCCGTGCAGCTGTGTTCGGCATTCTCCGGCATGCCATCACATGACTACTACGGCCACAAACAAGCATTTGCAGTCCAAGCCCAGATGGTCATGGATTTGGACTTGCGTATCCTGGACGTCCATGCCGGATACCACGGTGCACAGCGTCTGTGTCCTGCACAACTCCCATTTGTGGAGGCACGCAGAAAGCGGGGAGTTGTTCGATGCCCTGCCGGAGAATCTACCGCACGGCGTCGTCATGCGAGGTTACCTTCTCGGTGACAATGGCTACCCCGTTGCTTGTCCATGGATCGTGCAGCCGTACGGAGGAATCGACCAGCCTCCTGACGAGGAGCGCTTTGACACAAAACAGAAGGTGGCACGCGGTTGTGTAGAGAGAGCTTTTGGGCGGTTGAACTGCATGTGGTGCCTGTTCCTACGCACCCACAAAATGAACTTGGAAACCTTGCCTCAGCAGTTCATCGTCGTTTGCACTCTCCACAACATCCTCTTGGACGCGGGGATTGAGTTCGACGAAAACCTGTTGTGGGAGGTCGAAAGCAACGACGTAGAGTGGACTTGGGTATTGTGGGGACGCCATGCAAGGTCGACAACGATGCGCAAACGTCGACGGGGACCTGTTGTGGGATGCACTCCACGATCGGTTGACATTGATGTAGGACTGTTTGGGGAATCATGGTAGAGCTATGTTCGCAGGGGCAGGTGGTGATGTCTGCTTTTTCACGTAACGATCAGCCGCCCGTTAGATAGTCTATGGCCGGCGTGTTCGCACGTCATGTTCGCAGGGAGACGGCGATGGGAGCCTAGGTACAACCATGTTCAACGACGTTCGTGACGTCATTTGTGGCGAGTCCGGAGGTGTTTTTTTTTTCGTCTTTTTTTTTAGTGTAGCACTGCAGCCCTCCCCCAACTTTAACGATCTTCAGCGCCAGAGTTGTTTTGAGCACTTTCAATAGAACGGAGATGGTGGAACATATGCTTTCATGTATTTCGACAATGATGAAAGGTTTACGGAATTGTGTGTCATCGTCTCATTTTGTCTACTTCATTGCTCATTTCAGAAGTTGTGGATGTGAAAGGCGTTGTCGGGTGTGTGTGTGAGATTGTGAAGTCACTATACAATTTAACGTGTCTTCATTTTCATGGTAACTGTTGTCCTTTGTGTTTGTGAAATTGCAAAATTTCTCTTCAATTATACGTATCTGAGTTGTCGTAAATTCATGCCGCTCGCTATATTGTGTTGAACGCGATTCGTGTTTTTTCTTTTCCTTTGATTCGAAATCCAATCACGCAATGCCATTGCGAGGAGGATGTTGATTGCATGTAGCTCATAAATATATCGTTCTCCATATACAGTACCGAACCTTTGCACACAAAGAAACACTGAAACATTCAATCACCTGACACATATTTCAACATTTGAACACTCAATGTCATCAGACAACACACAAACCAACGGTTCAAAACCAATTTTATTTGTTACAGGTGGAGAAAAAAATTATCGTATACAAACAAAAACAAAAACAAAAACAATATACATCATCATCGACCATTCCCGGAAAGCAAAAACAAAGCTCACCATACGACCATTACCACAAAGAAAAAACATACACACTACACCCAATGCCCACGGGGCCCGGTGCAACTCCGGCAGCTGGAGGGCAGCCGTCTCTGCTACGTTGCACGATCATCGCATTCCTGCCATGCTGTCGGTCACAGGATGACGAACCAACACCATCATTGACAGATGAACTGCGTGAAGGTGGTGACTCCTCTGTGTATGCACTTCGATCATGTTTGTCGTCGTCGTCCTCCAACCCTTAACGCAGGAGGGATGTGAACTCGCCACCTCAATTCGTCCCGCATCCAGCACCTACCAACGCCTGTGACGAGTCCGACGACCCACTACCCAAAGGGCCAAAGGTAGCGTTGCCAGCTCCTGTGCTTCCTGTTCGTCGTCCGACGGGGGCAGAGGCTGCTCGTGCGGAGGCAGATGGATGGACAAGGACGGGTCGTACCACCAGCGAGGGACCACCCTAGCTGAGCCTCCTGAACTCGCGACCGCTACTTGTCTGTTGACGTTGAAGTTCATCATTGCTCGTTCAACAAAAGTTCGTTTCATAGATGCATGTTGGTTGCGGTGTTGCTTCCACGACCGAAACGTCAAGCACACGTGAAGGAAGACGACAAACAAGAAGACAACGATAACGAGTACCACGAAAGGCAACCTCCGATACACGTATGTCATGAATGTGCACTTTGGAGGGAGCGTTCCCGAGCACACAAAGGACACAGACTCTGACATGCCGACAAATTCGACTGGAGGTCCTTCATATAGCATCATATGCAGGAGAGGTGAGTGGACAAAGCCACTGATTCGAATTCCGACTGTTGGACGCCCTCCACTGCCCGCAGATTGTCGGTACCACGATGGTGCAATGCCTTGTCCTCCTCCATGTTTCGCTTCAAAGGCAACGGTCGACTGCAGAGGACAGGCACCCCCGCTTGCCATCCCCGGTCTGCTTCGCCCGCCAACGGCTACCGATGGTGGTCGTTGCCTTCATCTCGCCACTAGAGGCCTCCAATGTCCGACCCCTAGCCCGACGAACAACTTCTGCACCACGGAGTCGGAGACAACGGTGCCCCGCGCGCGTCTCCAAGCCTCCATGAAACACAACTTCCTAAAAATTTTAGATGCTCGGGAGGAGCTTTATTTTTTAGGAACTTTTGCCAGGGGAATCCTAAATTTTGAAGGACTAGTCCTAACGTCATTTTCACATTTTCTTTCACGAATTCGATTTTAGGAATGCGTGTAACCACACTACATTCCTAAAAATCGGCATTTTTAGGAATGTCTAACGAGACCCTGAGCGGCTGAGGCCACAAGGCATCTGCCTCCATACCTCAAGATTTCTCCTTAGCTCATACCTTGAAAAGGAGGGGAAGAAGACAAGACATGGTAGCTCAGTGCAATGAAACTGTATGAGCGCGCGCTTTATCCCCCACCCCCCGCTCAAAGCGCTCAAAGCGCTTAAAAAAAAAAAAAAAAAAAAAAAAAAAAAAAAAAAAAAAAAAAA